ATACTCGCTCAAACTTGCCAGACAAAGTGGATTATCAAAATTATTTTTGTTAACTTTTTCAATGAATGTTACACAAATCTCATGTGAATCGGACGGACGGTCTAGTTGCAGTACGACAAAGTATGTTTCCAAAACATTAAAAATAGCTTAAAAATCTTGTTACCTCTAGATTCAGGCCTACTCCAAAATTCAGAGAAAAGAGATTCTTGAAATATAAGCAATGATGCAAATTGATTATAGCGCCACCTTGCGGCCAATTATCACAGTTTTGTTTGTAGGCCCACACAAATGTACGTGTTGATATATACTGGATGAGGTATCAGAGCACTATGGGATCTCAAAGGAGCCAAAGCACAAGCTTTCCCCATCGGCTTAGTTAAAGAGCCACAGGATAAAATCTGCTGTAAGATTTGGACTCTCAGTCCAGACCATGTGACAGAGGTGTGAGATGACTGTCTCCTGAATGCAGAAAATGCCTAACAGGAATCCTCATGTATTATTATTCAACCCCAGAATCAAGATAATGAGGTTGCATGTTAATACGGCCACCATCATGTTTTCCCATCATTCCTTCAGGACAAGCATACTCTCTATTCTATGGTTGCCTGTAATGAACTAGTCCGATGACTGAACAAGGGTATGCTACGAAACGTATGGGATGTTTTAAGCATGTGCTCAAAATGCAAAAATGTACATATTGAGTAAATCACCGTAGTTTCACCAAAAGGAGGTTTACAGTTTTACAGAGAATGATTATTACACAACTGTAATGCACTAGTTCCTCCATAGGAGTGTTTTCCCACATGCTTGTCCAACCCAGCGTTTATACATCAAGCTGCTTTGTGGCTTTCATGAGTACAGCCTCAGATTTGAGCTTTAACACTACAAGTGCCCTATATAAGTAAATAAAGTTTAAAGAAGTGAATTCGTACCACATGAGGATTTTCCCTGTTTGCGTTTGCTCTCTCACTAAGTCACATTTGAGCGGCTGTGAGTAGGCCTAGCCTATATTGCGTCGACATTCTTCACGATCAACAAACAGATTCACCTCTGAGACTGAGCATCCACTCAAAATGACGGATATATTACACTCCTTTCATGTACACTGGCATGATCTTTGATGACTGGCTATTTACCCTCTCTGATCCCGCTGATGTTTGTTTTAATTTCATGTAGTCCTCTGCCCCGCCGGGCTTACTTTCTACATGCAAAGAATAAAAAATCATCTGCTGGAGCTCTGGGAAAGCGGCCCTTTTCCAACCCGTGCCTACAGATGCTTTGAATTTAGGGAGATTTTCCTGCGAGGAGACGAGGAGAGAGCTGCCCGTATTTCCTGTGGATTAGTCCTCAGATGCTGGAGGTCTGCGCTGGAAAACTGACCCACCGCTGACTGCCAATAACCCCGGGATAAGAGCTCGACATCAATACCACCGCTGAGAAACCGAGAGCTGCTGCTAAACACAGTCCAGAGTACTCTAGTGTTCATCTCTGATGAGTCCGAAGCTATGATAATTCACACGCAGAAACATCACAGGAGCTGAAAGAGGATGTATGAAATAAACTAACTAACTTATCCAAATGTTTCCTTCACAGTTCCTCTTTTGTCTGTATTGAATGTAACATAACTTCACTTTAAATATAATACTGGTCAAAGGGCTCCATCTGCTGACAGCAGTCACAAATTACACCGGTTATACAGCACAAAGTACACCGTCTTGATGGAGGACCACATCATTGTCACAAAGTAGCTGGAGATAGCCTTCAGAATGAGCTGAGCAGCCGTCTGCTTCGGAAAACTGTTTCTATAGAGGAGAAGCAAAGCAAAGCATGCAGCACATTATGCTTCAACAACCTCCTGATGGCAGTGCAGCAAAAAAAAAAAATCAGCATTTAGCAATTAGTAATGACTTTGAATTTCTTGATCTCAAATGGATGAGAAAACTACTTAGTATATCATTTTCAGACTGATCAGTCTGTACATTTTCCCATTTCCCCCTTACATTATTAATGAACTGAAAATTATCTTTTTCTGCACAACATGCATATCTTTGAAACAAATGTATTTATAAAAAAAAAACATTTTGCAACATCTATTATTAATATTGTTAGTTGAGGTTTAAATATATCCCTTTAATTCTAAATTAGCCTATTAACTACTAACCTATTTAATAAAACCAACCTAATGTGTATATATTCTTTGTTTAGATTTTTTTTCTGTATTGTGATGTACATTTGAAGGAAAACCAAAAAATGTAGGGCGGGACTTGGTTCTATGCATCAGTTGTTGATTGGATGTTGGAAGCATGGGCGGGGCTCTTAAGTGTATGCAGATGAGTTTGAGCATGCAGGGGCTGAGTTTAAGAGGACAAATGTGGTCAAAAAAAGAAACATGCATTCATAGATTGTTCACAGTAAGATGCATTTAAATAATAGATTGAATTGAATTGAGTGAATTTTAATTTCCATTTCATGTCGACTTTAATATTAGGGTAGTGAATTTGTTTTATTTCTATATTTATTACGACTAAAGTTGTACCTGCCACTGCCGATGGAAGGAAAGGCCACAGATTTGAGTTTCTTCTCCTCAGCGACAGCGAGAGCCAGACAGTTCTTCACAGTCTTATCCAGCATCTCCTCACATTTATCTGAGCCCCAGCCTGGACGGTTACAGTGGCAGGAAGACCGTATCCTGAGGTCATGGCCGCTGAGGAACGTCAAAGATAATGAACTTATCAAGCATACACTGCAAATCATCTGGCACGATCCACCCGCCATAAGCCATAACCAGAAAGTTCAGTTATCACACCTCAAGCCTGACAAGCCCGAGGCGTGTGTCTGTCCGCTAGAGGGTGAAGTTTATTTAGTTATGTAAGAAAAAAAAAAGGCTCTGCGTTTAAGAGCATTTAGGTTAAAAACAGTTCATAATATATGCATAATATTCCCAGTTGTTCAAAATAAATCAGATTTTGGCTGTCGGATTGGATCAAATTTTGAAAATGGATTGGTAAAATAAATAAATAAATAGATGAAAATAAATGAAATTGAATTAGATCAAGTAGATTACTTACAAATTGTTGTCCATTACTGATTACAGATTACATAATGAAAACTGTAGTTAGTAACATAATCTTGGTTATTTATTTTAGTTTAGATTACTTTTAGATTACTTTTTTTTTTAATCTAACTTGTTTTAAACTTACCATTATCAAAAAGAAATAAAATATATTCCTTTTTTTATATATATATCAACATCATAAAATGCATTAAGCATTACATTACAGCTGGGGAAGAACTGCAGTGGGTTTGTGAAAAAGCTAATAATTAATTAAATCATAACATTTTTTAAAAAGTATTTAAACACTTGAACACTAAAAATAGAAATATTTAATTTGTTTGACAGTCGATGTGATCAAACATGAAAATGTGTTAAATTATTGAAATATTAACTTCCATAGAGATATTTCAAGTAAATGTTTTATTTTAAGGTGTTTGGCTGAAAAAATAGTTTGGGACTCCGTGCATTACATGAACAAACATGAATAAACTTGAAAACAGCAGTGACATCACACACAGAGTCTTCACGTCACCGGGCCCACTCATCGTTTTAATCATACGCTAGATTTAATCTGAAAAATTAGTGTTTACTATTGTCATTTTGCATTATTGACACACTATTTTCCTAATTAATGCTGTTCAGTTGCTTTGACACAATCTGTATTGTTAAAAGCGCTATATAAATAAAGGTGACTTGACTTGACTTGACAGAGTCTTCACGGTCTGAATATTTTTGTCCAGAATCAGCAGTTACTGAAGGTCATGGATATGATGCAGACACAGTGTTTCACAGCTACATCACCAGTGTTTAGTAACTTAAGCACAATTATTTGTTTCATACATGGTCTGATTGCTTGAGAGGTGCTTTTTTCCACCCAAATTCAGGAGCATGGTTTGCACATTTATTTGCACAGCGCTGCGAGATCTAGAGAGCCACATATTTATAGTCTAATAAATATAGTCAAACCAAATGTATATACTGTTAGTATTAGTATAGGCCTACTTGGTTTTTTTATTATAGCCCGTGATAATTAACATTGTAAAAATAAAAAATGTACCTTATAAAAGAAAGTTATCCCACACTACAACTATCAGGGGAGGAGGGGGCAGAACATTTATATTCTTTCAGTTCTACTCTCAGTTTGGGCCAAACAGTTCACTACTTCTGCAATAAACGTAATAAAAGCCAACTTGTCTATCATGAGATTTATTTTTCCTTGATTCAGACGCTCATTTCTCATTCTCAGGGCTGGGGCTGTCTCTTCTCTTTTCTGTCATCTGAACTTGGGATATAAGGGTTTATTGTCATTCAGCACTTATTCTATTATACATTATGTACACATTTCTTAAATGCGTTGAAATGAATTCCTAGCAAAGATGAAGTAGGCCTATAACATTTTAAATGAATTTAATTTAAATACATGGTGATCACCTGAGAGGGAAGGAAAACAGCCATTTACTAACGAACTTGTTTTTTGATTGTTTTTGTCATAGGATTGCAAAAGACTCTACATTACTTCATCAATAAAAGATGTTATTATTTAAAAGACACTTCGTACTGATTCCTCTAAATGTCATAACAGATTAACTACTGAGGTATTATTAATAAACAAAATAAAGGACGGGAACACAATCGTATGAGGAAACAAGAGCTATGGTGAATTTGTACTAATTTGTTAATTTGAGCAGTTTAAGTGAACTGTCTTTAGTGAGCTATTTGAGTTTCTTTGTACATGTCTATGAAGGGTGGGGAAGAAAAAACACAAACTGGATTGTTTTTGCGTCTGGTTTTAAACTCATGACCTGCTTTCATTTTGAAAGGGTTTGTTTTTGGAAGGCCTGTTAATTCCCAAGTGCATGCTGTTGAAGGTTTTGTAAGATGAGCTACAATACATGGTGAAAAGAGGGAAAATCAGATGAAAAACAAACAAAAAATTTAAATAATTTAATTTAATGTGCTTGTTTAAAATCATATTTGGCAACAATGGTTTCTGTAGGTCAAGAAGCATGACTGAAGATTATTATAAGGTCTGTTTTAAAAAGAATATATTTCGCTTGACAATTATACAAAGTTCATCTATGTGAGTAAATATAGCTTGGTCTGATGGTCGAGCAGCTGGATTTAACATGAAGAAGGATGGGAGACATAGTTTAGATCATTTGGTTTGTAACTCGATTTACTCCAGCATATTTGCAGTTTATTTTCTTGACAATAATCAGAGTTATGAATACCACCAGCACACACACAGACAGAATGAGTGGTAATAAATAAGAAGGCGCTCCATTACTGCACTCCGCATCAGTCGTGTCGGTTCCTTCCCTGATGGTTATTTTGCCAAGAGATTCACAGCTGTTAGAGAGACGTACTCAAGTTGAACTACAAATGTATCTCTTCTGAAAAGATCTTGATTTAACCACAAAATCTACTGAAGCAAATAATAAAACAACAAACGTCTAAATTTCATTTAAGAAGGTGTGGAAAGTCAATGCTGCGCAATAATGATACTTACTTTGTATGCAATTTGCAGAATGTATCATCTGAATATGAACCAACAGGACAGTCATCGCACACTGTATCAGTGAATTCTGTTCCTATAAACACATGCAGAGATACATAGTATCAGTACTTGTGTGTTTCAACTACACGAGCAATAGAGGCAGGTCTAACATTAGCTAGTGGCATCATTTTTCAGTATGGCATCTGACACATACATAACTAACAATCTGCCTAATCATAATTTAGCAGGTTTTTTTGAGGTGGTTTTGTCAGGTGCTGTCAGAGTCACAAGCAATGTCTGTCATGAGGAAAAACATTCACAGTACTTCCCCCAAGTGCAATAAAGAGTTGTAAAGCTGCTTTGGAACAATATGCATGCATCCATAATTCAGTTATTTAATATAAATGCAAGCAGAGTTACTGTTCTCAGATGACATCTAAGCCTTATGCATGTATATTAAAGCTGTTTGAATGATAAAAGACTGACCTGTTTGGTTGATGTATTGTCCGGGTGAGCAGGTTGAATATTTCACGGCCTTTTTACAGCTTGAGAGCAAGTCTATACAGTAATAACCTGACAGAGGTTCACAAACTGTATTTGATATTAATGTACATGCCTGCTTTACTCTCAGCCCATTACCTTTGACAAAAAAGGAAACAAATGTATATCAATTGTAGAAAACCGGCCAATGGCAAGTCAGCTGCAGAACAAATAAAGTTAAGTTACAATGCATTTGAAACAAATTTGTACTCACTTGTGTCACAGACTAAACATGGCAAACATTCTGTCAATCCGTTAGGAGAGTTAGTGTAAGTCATCGCAGGGCATGAAGCGCATGTTGTACTTGTATTCTCATCACAATGTCTCTTAACTTGCTTTCCTAGACAATATAAATAGTTAACAATATATTTGTACGTATATTTGTAATTACATAAGCTGTATTTATTGTATGTCTGTATATTTCTGTCAATCGTCAACATTAAACATGTTCCTTATATTCTGTGTCTTGTTTTATGCTGGAATTTCCAATGACACAACAAAGTTCTCAAATCAGAACTGAACTGAATCGGGGAATCTGTGTCGATACCCAGCTCTAGACTAACTAGAGTCATGTTTTGTGTATATATATATATATATATATATATATGTTAATATTTGTTAATGCAATGATGTCTGACACACTCAAAACACATCCAGATGTTCACTATAGATCAAGTCTGTAGTGATATACATTATGTGGCCTTTTGTTCCTGGAGGCCACCCAACAGAGAACTTTTTGGAAGTCTCCTCTTGAAATACTACCAAGATGATGCCTTAGAATGGTATTTTTGATTAGGGAGACTCTATTAGGATAATCAAACAGATGCTGGTCCTCACTGACTTCCATAGAATGGAAAAAAGTACAGTGGGAGTATCTCAGCAGAAGATGGAACTCAACTTAAGGGTGAGTAAATAATAACAGAATTTAGTTTTTCGGTCTGTCCCTTTAAAAGATTGTTTTTTGAGTCTGTTCCAGTTGTTGGGCTCATCATCAGTAATAATGATGAGACAGTTCTAAGCCTGTACCATGGCTGTGGTGATGAGAGAAGAAGAGTTGGACTTACCTGGATCACACATCGGGCAACACTCCCCGTTAACTTCATATTCTGCATTATTACAAGCTGCCATACAAAACATGATGTTCATGATGAGAAGAGGCAGTGTTACATGAATGAAGTTATAGCACATACACATATCAGGGAACTAAAAGAAGCGTCACTGGTCCGGTGATCATTTTGCCCTCTCTTTTTCTAATAGAGCTGAAAAAGAAATGTTAGATGGCTTTCAGAAAAATCGACAGAAATTGTGCCATAACCTAAAAATGAACTAGACACACCTCAACCAAATGACTAATCAAACTAGAGGGAAAACTAGGTCACAGAGCACAAGGGGAGAAAACACACACAAAAAGTCTTTACTCCTGACAAATATTGTGAAATATTTTTACTATTTAAAACAGCTGTTTTCTATGTGAGTATCTGTTAAACTGTAATGTATTTCTGTGATGCGCAGCTGTATTTTCAGCATCATTACTGCAGTCTTCAGTGTCACATGATCTTCAGAAATCAGTATAATATGCTGCTCAAAAAAACATTTTTTTATTATTATCATGTTGAAAACAGCTGAGTAGAATTTTTTCAGGATTCTTTGATGAATAGAAAGTTCAGAAGAACAGCATATATCTGAAATAGAATTCTTTAACATTCTAAATGTCTTTGCCGTCACTTTTGATCAATTCGATGCATCCTTGCTAAATAAAAGTATTAATTTCTATCATTTCTTTCCCAAAAATGCTTTGATCACAGGAATAAATTACATTTTAAAATATATTCAAATAGAAAGCAGTTATTTTAAATTGTAAAAAAAAAAATCACAATATTACAGCGTTTTCTGTATTTCTGATCAAATAAATGCACCCTTTGTGAGCAGAAGAGACTTCTTTAAAACACATTCAAGATCTTACTGCTCAAAAACGTTTGACTGGTTGTGTATACTGAATTAAATGTAAAGCATTATTGTGTAAGTGTACATTTTTAAATAGTTTGAACAGCTACAGAAATGCACATCACTTACCGTTTGCCATTTTCTCTCTATTGGCAAAACAACATATTCCACATGTAAACTCTAAACTGATTCATTTTTATCCGACCCCCTGTGACTTCATGGCATTCTCCCGTTCACGAGACCTGAGTCACTCTTCAATGCTTCTCTCTTTAAATCACATTCGATTGGGAAAGTCTCGCTCACTTACTTCCTGTTGCGTGCACTTTCAACAAGTGTTCCTTGGGAAGCTCAGATGCACCATGATCAGCAATGCAGCAATGAAAGCAATAAAGCCACTTTCACACAGTAATAGCTACATTTCCATAATGACTTTACTGGTATTTTTGAAAAGTTCCTGTTCACACATGATCTCTTACGGGTAATTTACCAGTAAAGTCTGTATGTGCGTCAAAGGGGCTATTGCAAAGGTTTAGTTTCGGTTAGTGGAGTCCAGGGTCATGCTTACTCATAAGGATTATTTATTTGTTTGCTTGCTTATATGTTTATATTTGTAAGATGGTCTTTTGTGCTATATCATCCACACAAGTTGGTTGATAACATAACTGCAATAAAGTAATAGCCTAGTTAACAATTACTTGTTTACAAAGGATATATAATGTAAAAGAACATTATTTGGTGTAATGAAATGTGTTTATGCGGTTTAAGGTTCAAAAAACACATTATTTTCCACATACTGTACATTATTGTTTCTCCTCTATGCCCCGCCTTTCTGAAACGCGTCGATTTTTACAAAGCTCATCGTTCTGAAAAGCGAGGTGTGCTCTGATTGGCCAGCTATCCAGTGCGTTGTGATTGGCCGAATACCTCAAGCGTGTGACGGAAATGTTACGCCCCTCACCATACTGTGATGATGCCCTGTCCGGCCGGAGCGACGAGACAAAAACATGAAAACCCATTATAAACGAGGCATTTGTTGGATCCAGTGGGGACATAAGTACGGATTATAATGATTTATACTGTCTTTTTACGCATTGCATCTCGCCGTGTAAACATAAAACTCTGTCTGCATTTGTGATCGGAGAAACGACAAACAACAAGCCCTACTCTAC